AGTCATGGCTGGACCGCAATGGAAATTTTTACTTCCTTCCCTGTATGTTGACCTCATCGGGCTCTGGCTGTGTTCATCTCTGAGTTCACTGTCTGCCCAAATAAACACTCCCTCTCCGTGGCAGAGTTCACATGCAAGCCTACCCAGGCCAGCTGGTTCATCCTGTTACGTTCTTTGGAGATTTGGTTAAACCTCTTTAGTTTATTTTTTTAATTTATTTTTTTAATTTATTTATTATCTTTGGCTGCATTGGGTCTTCGTTGCTGCACATGGGCTTTCTCTAGTTGCGGTGAGCGGGGGCGGTGCATGGGCTTCTCATTGTGGTGGCTTCTCTTGTTGTGGAGCACAGGCTCTAGGTGCGTGGGCTTCATTTGTTGTGGCACGCGGGCTCAGTAGTTGTGGCTCGTGGGCTCTAGAGCGCAGGCTCAGTAGTTGTGGCTCACGGGCTTAGTTGCTCTGCGGCATGTGGGATCTTCCCGGACCAGGGCTTGAACCCGTGTCTCCTGCATTGGCAGGCGGATTCTTAACCACTGCGCCACCAGGGAAGCCCCCTTGGTTAAGCCTCTTTAATTGCTGGTGGGGCACCGAGTGATGTGGGCACGGAGGCAAATGTGGCTTAGGATGTTGTAGCAGCTGGAAGCACCTGGCACAAGGGGAGCATCTGGAGGGAGCACAGATGACTGGAGAGGAGTGCTGTGTTGACGAGAACCAAGTGTGGGAACCGACGGCCAATTCAATTTTACAAATGCTGATTGGATGCTCGTGTGGGCTTGGGATGCTTGGGATGCAAAGATGCCTGAGATGTGTTGCCTGCCTCTAGGGACCTCAAGCCAAGCCAGGTACAAGTGTGCGATGACTGTTGGAAGAGGGGATGGAGAAGGGCAAAGAGAGGAAAGGAGGAGGCATGAAGGCATCCGGATACATGGTGGACAGTGTCAGGATGCAAAGTCTCAGTTAGATATAGGAGGGAAACAAGGACATCTCCGGAACTTTTAATGCGTTTGGATGCAGTTGAAATCTCACTGGTTGGAGGTGGCTCTGTAATAGTGGCTGCAGATAAGATTCCAACTGCAACTTATCTTGTTGGAATAAGAGGTTCCAACTCTGAACACTTAAGACTCTAAAATGAGCAGATTGGGAGGGCAGAGAGATGGACCCAGGGACCCCCTCAGTACCCTCAAAATCCCTGCTGTCCCTGGAAGAAATAAGCATGACAAACTGTCGCTGGGATTTTGCATCTTTTTGCATCCCAGTTACAGCATTAGCCATGATAGTAATCATAGCGATGATGGCTAATATTTAGTGAAGACTTCCCTGTCCTAAGTGGCGTCAATGGATTATCCCTTTGCATCCTCCGAGCTAGGGATTATTCATAGTCCCACAGTATGGATGGAGAAATAGATGCACATTGAACTCCTGTAACTTGCCTGAAGCTGCAGAGGTGGTACAATGGAGAAGCACTTGTCCTAAACCCCTTCCTACCCCAGGTGGCTGAACTGACACCCTAGATGGAAAGGTTCACTCCTTTCATTGGCCTTGACTCCAGAACAGGTGGGCAAAACATGGTCCCCAGGCCAAGTGCAGCCTGTCACCTGTTTCTGTACACCTGTGATTAAGGATGTGTTTCAAATAGTCAGAAAAAATCAAAAGAAGAGTCATATTTCATGATGCCTAAAACTTCTAAGAAGTTCAAAGTTCAGTGCCCATAAATAAAGTTTTATTGACACACAGCCACACTCTTGTTGACATCTGGCTGCTGTTGCTGTAACAGGAGGGTTGGGCGTGCCTGGCTCTCAAAGCCTAAAATATTTACGTCTAAAGTAGAAATATAATGCTGTACACATGCACCTTATGTAATGTTATAAACCAGCATTACCTCAATTAAAAACAAAGATGAATTAGTTTTAAAAAATAATAAAATATTTACTGCCTGGACCTTTACAGAGAACACGTGCCAGTCCCTGCTCTGGGTCCAGACTGGAGTCTGGAGTGAGTTCCCCTCGCCAGGACACCTCCCTGTCCTGGAGGCAGCACTCTGCCCCCACAATCTCTCCATAGCATAAAGTGCCCCACCACACCCACCATGGAAGAGACTCCAGACCACAGCAGAACAAAAGCTACCCCCAAAACCCAGACCCTCAATCCCCCAAACCCCTCTCTCAAAGAAAAAAAAAAAAAGTAACCTGACTCCATGGCCACTTTCACACTCTGGCAGGTTGGCGGTAGCCCTGTCAACGCATTCATTCACCCATTCATTCATTCCACAAACAGTGGTCGAGTCCCTTGGCCTTGGTGCTCTCTAGGGTGGGTGAGGGAGTGGGGAGTGGACCTTCAGCCCCCACAGAGTCAGTAGTTATCTCCAGTCTTAGACCCTGACCTCGATGGTCAAGGCACAGCCTTGGCACTTGGACAGAACTGGGTTAAGATCCTGGTTCTGCCACTCGCGAACTCTGCCTGCACAGAAGCGTCTAAACTAATGAGCCCTGAAGAAGTGAAGCAGTGGGGATGCTTTTACCCCCCTTTTTACCCTCACTTTTGTGTGGCGCGCTAAGGAAAATAGTGTGTGCAAAGTCCTTTGTACGGGGGAAGGGTGCACAGGACCAGTTCCAGAGAATTATATCAGCATCACCACGGACATCTCTCTTGTTGCTGAAGAATCCAATCAGCCCCCATCTCGGAGCAGATAAAGTTGACACAGATCTAGAGAAAACAACCCTGAGTGCGTTCACGCTCTCTCTTTATACCAGGAAACACTGTACTATTTCTAGTCCCCTTGGTATTTGTTACAATCTCAAGATTTGAGTCAGGAAAAAAATAAGAATTTTCCTCTCACCAAGATCCTCTGGGATTTTTGAGAAAACACAGAACAGAAATCATAAGGATCTTGGCAATATCGGGCCGACAGCAGTGGGAAGAGAGGCCCGAATTCCCGGTCCCAACGTCAGGCCTTTGGAATGCTGGGCCCTAGTGCAGTAATCCTTTTAGAAGAAAAGAAGGACAGGCACAGGATGTTCAGAGAGGAGTGAAATTTAACAAACAAAAAACAACACATTTTGTGTCTTGTGAGGCTTTACAATCAAGGGCTTAGCAGAGACAGGGGCTGGGAAAGCTGAGTCGCCCCTTCCTTAATCCTATTTTGGTCTGTAAATTACCAAAACAGCGGAATGAGGGGAGAATGAATATTTCCCCACCATTTTCGACAACCTTGCAGCTTTGAAAAGCCTGTAATTTGTTACCAGTAAGGGATGTGTGTCACGTGTGGAAAAATCAGAAGACATTGCTCTGATTTTAAACTAATAAACAGAAGTCTTAAAAAAATAAATAAAAATAAACAAATAAACAGAAGGCTTCCCTCTGTAACTTCCCCCATCAGAGGCAGCACTGAAGGCTGGGCAGTGTGTGACCCCCATTCTTTTCTTTCTCTGTGTAAAGTGAGTGCACAAAGCACACTTTTCCACCCAGTGGAGCCGGGCTGGTAGTTAAGACCAGGCGCCTTGGAGCCACAGGACCTGGACTAGAATCCAGGCTCTGCCCTTGCCAGCTGTGTGACTTCAGGCAAAAGCTGCCTTCTTTCTGCCTCATTTTCCTCAATTGTGCTGTAGAGTTCTTTATAGCACTGACATCACGGGGTTGTAGTGAGGATTAAATGGGGTATTATATGTAAAGCACTGAGACAGCAACTAGCACTGTTCTCCGTGTGTGTGTTGTGTGTGTGTGTATTCATTAATATATACATGCATTTTTCTTAAACAAATACATCAAACTATTCACAGTATTTGGTAGCTCTTCTTTTTTTGTGGGTTAATTATGATATATATGACCTCATATTGTCAGTATTTTAGGTTGTTTCTCATTCTTCACTATTATTAAAAAAAACAAACAGCCATTTACATTTCTGCACTTGGATCTTTGGCAACTTTTCCAATTACTTGCTTAGAATTTATGGCTAGAAGCTGGGTCAGATTCTGTGCTCTTTTTTAAGGATTCTGATACATAATGCTGAATTGCTCCCCAAGAGGGACTTTAACGTCCCAGCAGCATAGCATGAAGGTGCCTCTTATCCTAAATTCTTGATAATGCTGGATATTTTCATCCTATTCTATTTTTTCATCAGGTTGGGGAGTTTTATTGTTTTAATTTTTATTTATTTTGATACCAGCAAGGTTAAACATTTTTGTTTATGTTTATTGGCTACTTTAATTTTTCCACTGGGAATTTGCTATTTATGTCCATTGTTAACATAGGGATTCATCATTTCCTTATTGGTTTGTAAGAGCTCTTTATATATTATAGGTGTTCCTTGTATTTTTAAGTTTATCGTCTGCCTTTAAATTTTGTTAAATGCCGAAGTATATCAGAGTATATTTTTCACCATTCAGAAGTTTTTTTGTGTGCCTGTGTAAGTTTTAAGTACACAAATCCAGCAATATTTTCCACTATGACTTTTGTCCTAGAAGTCATGGTTATAAAATCCTTCTCTACAATCACCCTTCAGATTATAACAATTATTCTATTTTCTTCCAAAATACTTATAGTTTCATTTTTACATTTAAAAATTGAGTTTATATCAAGCTTATTTGGCCACT